AAAATTACAATAAGTAAAAAGGATATGAAGGATAACATTATTTGAGTACTGGTGGTATGAACTATAAAACAGACTAAATCCCCGAGCTCTTTCTTTTAATAAAGTGTTTTAGTAGTTATAAAATCACTATTAATTACTATTAATAGTTTTTACTGTTATAAATTACCATTCATACAAATATGTCTTCAATTCATTTCTATAATCAGTCACTTACTTAAAAGATCATTTGAAAAGGACAACTGGGGCTTTGATGTTCAATATTATTATAATAAAGATTAAACACAATTAAGGATCAATCTAATTTACAGGTATACATTAGAGCATGATTATTCTTTTTAATGATCAAAAAATTAAATCTAAGCAACAAGTGCTCCACAAATCCAAAGCATGAGAGTAAATTATTTTATATTTTGCTATGGCTTGCTAAGTCAAAAGGCACTTCATTTGACATTATTTATAATATAAAAAATGGTTTTGTTAGTCAGAGAAATAAAATCTATTTCTATAACTTTATATATTATTGGTCAAGTTTTTAAAAAGCATTTTCTAAACTTTCCTAGTAGTAATAACAATTTAAATAAAAAATAATTTTTAATTTAAATGCTGAACTTCACTCAGCACTATTAATACACTTGAAAGAGCAAACTAACATGAACATATTTTAACATCTGCTGCTTTGTGATAAGTTTATACATAAGGCTTTATATTCACAGAATATGTTAATACTTAAAGACCCTTTTTAAATGTGGGAACTAAAAAGATAAAATATTTTAAAAATAAAAAAATAAATAAATAAATAAATGTGGGAACTACAGATGTTTTATAAAAAGAAAAGCAAAAATATTGGACCTGCAATAATTACAATGTAGAGACCCTTTTTTTTTTCCTTTTACATGAAGGAAGTTATGTCTCCTTTGGCATTTTGCCCAAACTTTTCTATAAATGCAAAGGATTACTTAGCAGGTAGTGTTGCATAGACCACTAATTCAAATTGTCTATTTGTTCTGCTTTTTGTAACACTGAAATAGAAATTTTAATAGAAAATTCCTATGTGTTCGATGAATCACTCTAAAGCAGTTTGTGAGATTTTCCACTAAAACAACGTTCAATCCTAAACTTAGGATGTAAGCAGAGAAGCCTCCCTCACCAACAAAAAATGGTTAAAGATATTAAGTCTGTGATTCCAAAGTTACCAAAATAACTCTCAAATCTCTCTCTTTTACTTTGCAGAGAAGAATGTCAGAATTGTATTAACTTATAATTCTTACTAAAAGTCTAATTTAAAATACACTAGCATTTACAACTATATCCCACGGAAGTCCCCTCACAAAACACCAACTATCAGTCAACCTACTGAGGTCATATATCAGTGAGTACTTGATGAATGTCAGTGACAGATTGTTTTTAATGGCATCAGTAAACTAGATCTCATGAATATTTTTGTAACCTTCTACACACATGTGCCGCTATAAATGGTACAGTGACTATGTAAGAGAATGTTATTTAAGATGAAGAATCATGATGTCTGTGGCTTACTTTGAAATAATTTAGTGGAAAAAATGCAAATACAGATAGACATACATATAGATAGAAAAGGAGATAAAACAAAAATGGCTTATATTATAGACGATGTGTGGGTATTCACTGTACTCGTCTCTCAATTTTTCTGTATGTTTGAAAAAGTGATGTCCTTAAACATTTTAAAATGGGATTTTATACTTTTGCGATTTATCCTTAAAAGTAGATTTTAAAAGTTTTATTTTTATAACATATGAAGTTTAATAACCTAAAAAGAATCAAGATTCTTCTTAATTTTTCTAGAAATTACTTTTCATAGTTTATTGGGTGTTCCACAATTTCAATTTTCTTCACATTGAGTACTAATGTTTTCCATCTGAACTGGCTATGAATAATTAGTACTACTAATTAAACAAACCCAAGGAAATATGAATTCAAGAAAATTACTCAGTTTTTACACAGAATTCCTTATACTCTCCATACTTGTCTGGACTTTCCCCAACATTCAGTGTTACTAGACAGTATCTCCATTCATCTATCCTCCTGAAAATAATCAGGGAGAGTGGCCTGTCCTACTGAACACTTATTTCAAAGCCTATGGGCACTCAAGACCTATAAGAATGATTTTTAATGTGGAACATAAAGCTAACAGGTATGTGTGTCTTACAGAAAATCACGAACTGGTCAGTCTTTTGGTTTGAGAGAAGTCTTTTGTTTTGTTTTTGTTTTTGTTTTTGAGTTTTAATGAAGAGCTGTATAAGCTTTAGGGACCCTCAAGCATCCAGAGAAAAACTAAGAGAGTTTTTAAAAATTTAATCATAGTGTCCTCTCCCTCTCCTCCGTAGATTTTCAGAACACCAACACGTGTGTGATGGTCGTACAAAGACGGTTACCTCAGCCTCTAAAATGCCTGTATTCGCAGATGCAGCTGCTTACTAGAACAAGGTTACTGAATATTTCTATTCATCATCACTTTTGTCAGATAATAATTATGGGTATTTCTAGGCATATTTTAACTTCAACAATAAATTGGCCATCAGGAAATTTGAAAAATGAGTTTCTTATGAATGCAGCTTCCATCAATGTCACTCCTTCATTTAACCAATGCTTATTTAAAATTCTCTCTACTTTCATGAAACAACAATCCCTGAAAAATGTATGCTACTAACATGTCTAAATTGGGAAAACATCTGGCCTGCCCAATTGTGGTTTTAAGTACATTGTTTGAGGTAGTATATTTGGAAAGAATTCACTTATCATTCTCAGGCTGCAAAGAGAACTAGCCTTGAAAACAAATGTATGTGGTAGTTCACTGCTACCATAGAGAATCAATAGCCATCTATTTAATTTGCTAAGACAATGTAAATTAGTAACTTCCAGCCAGATGTGTGATATACACATCAAACAAACTGCAACCTGTTCATTATGAAAATCCTGTCAACACACACAGAGCCACTTGATGACATTTCGTCTAAGGCAGTTTCCACATTTGCAGCTATAAAAATTGTCTTAAGAATTTTTATACAAAGGATTGGAGTTGAGGCTCATAAAAGGGTAATCAATTTCAGCTTTTCATCTTGCGTGCTTCTGTGTGTTTATTTCCATTTTCATTCCGAGGTACAAAACATTGAGAAAAATATGAACCATGCTATTTTTCCTTCTGAAAATCATTTATCCTCATTACATCTTTTTAATCTGATATAAAGTTGGTAGCCTAATCCTACAACTCTGGAGAAGTGTGTGAAGTGAAGAACGACAGAGTCAACAGAAGAAAGGAAGTACACTTATCCACTGGAAAACAAAACAGAATATTTCAAAATGACTCCAAACATAAATTAAGCTTACCCATTGGGAGGTCTAACTTGCATTCTGATCATTTATATGGGTCTGTGTGACTATATACCCTGCTGTTTGATAAAAAATGATTACTAACCACAGGCACCCACCAGAGAACAGAGTGTATGTATAAGGCTTGTGATGTCTCAGACATACAAAGCACCTTCTTAAAGAATGTCCATTTCCTTTCCATGGTAAGCAGACATAATTTTTCACTCCTTAATACTTCTGCTTCACAGAGTGGCTTATTTTATGAATTATGTTTTGCCATTTTCCCTTATGTGTACTTTGATAATATAAAAAATGCATTCATAAAATAGACGGTTTTATTTCATGATACCCAAAATATTGGTATGTTTTCTGCTCTGTATTAAAATCCACAGCTTTCTTGCTACTACAAAAACCCAACAGTGTTTATTTTAATGCCATTTATTAAATGAAAGGAATAAAAAGATTCTTCTTAACAACCATTATTCTTGAATACTGAATCCTCATTTAAACCAAAGTCATTTCTGAAGTCTATTGAATTAAAATTTCTTATTCAACAGGGCACAGAGTAAATAGTCTATTGCCAAGCACCATATTTTCAAGCACTACATTTTTAATTTGGTGATTTAAAACGAGGCGGAATGAATCAAGTCCTCGTGGCCTATTAGTATAGTCTGATTCCAAATAGAAACCCTTGACTAACTTCCCAATGAGAAAATAGCATTTCTACTAAGCGCTGGGTGTGTCAATGCTTCCAAAGTAAATAACTCCTGAGGTCCCCTAAAAATCACAAGAATTTCAGTGACTACCCAAAAAAACCCAGAAACTGTGCACACAAAAGGGCTCTTCATAAAGGCTTCAAACCTGAGCAATTCAACTTCACAAACATTATACAGAAGGCGCTTTCTTCACCAGCCGCACACCAGGCCACGTGATCAGCCTGCCGGGCCACACCGCGGACCAGAAACGATTATTGTTTCTAGAAAGAATAAGGTTCCATTGCCGCCACCAAGGCCGTCCAGCCCAGCCAGCTGTGCCCGTTGCTGGCACCTCGAGGCCAGCTCCTCACCTCGAGAGGTGGTCCCAGAACGCGTGGGGCCTGGGCACCCGCCAAGACTTGTGGCATTAGCCTGGGTCCCTTTGCTTTCTGGAGGTTAAATTCACACCCGCCTGGTCACTTAAACCCCCATTGCGGTTCAACGGAAGAATCATTCTCTCAGAACTCTTAACTTTGGAGACTCTGGTTAAAATTAAGAACTTCAAACCCAGATTTGAAAAAGTGAAACAGATGTCCTGTTTGTTAACCATAAATGGCTCCGTACGTCGGACCCTTTCCTCTCTCTCTCCCTCTTTTTTTCTTTCTGCCGCATTAAGTTTTATTTAATGCAGAGTTCGCTTAAAAGGTTAAAAGAGAGAGAGGGAGCAGAAAGCAAATATAGACTGTAGATGGAAAAACTCCTAAATCTTTCCCTGGAATATAACTTTATAAAGATGAACGTGCTCAAGCTGCCGCCTCCCAGCACAGCCTGCAGTGGGGTCAGAACCTGCCCGCGCCCCAGTGGACCCCAGTCTCCTCTAACCCGCAGTGACCACCACCTGCACCCTCTTGGAGACCAGGGCTGCCTGGAGTGGGAGAAGTGTTCCAGACTTGCACTCACGTGAGGACATAGTTGACACTGACGATACAGTGTGGCCTGGAGGAGCGGCTGTTGTGGACGATGGTCGCATAGCTCTGCACCCATACCCAGCCGCCGTGCTTCGCCAGGAACCTGTAGTACTTGGTGGTCACCTGCCCCTTCACGAGCACTGATGGGAGAGACAGAAGGCTGCTGGGAGTGAAGAATCCAGCTGCTAATCTGGCCCAAATGCAAACCCTGGCGGTGGGAGTGCGGGTCCCTATGGGCCCCAATAACCGTGCTCAGGCAGGAGGGAGAGACAACCCCTACATTCCCAAAGGAATAGATTGTTCTGTTACTTTGCATCATGTCCTCCAGCCCCTTGCGATTTGGCAAAGGGGATGCTTAAAATTGGGGGATTTCCCCTTTCAGCTTTCTAACTAAGGAAGGTGGGGTCTGGGCAGCTGAACTCCAAGGCTCAGGGTCCCTGTTCCTCGAGATTAAGTTCAAAACAAAGCTCTATCTGCCGAAGCAGATCGGTGCACGTGAGCCAAGTGGCCTAGCTTCAGTTTTTATTCCTGTCTTCAGTGAGGTTTGCAGCGGGCAGGAGGAGAAGCATAAAACCGCTCCTGGGGGGGAATTTACCCAGAAACTCGGAAACTCTTCCCGCTGACATGAGAGAAACAAGGTTGGGCTCAGCTTTGGAGCAGCCGCTCCCTGGCAAGGGCTTCGCACCACCACCCGGCTAGCAGGGCTCCCACCCTTCCGTTTACTGCGGACTTAAATCACGCCCTCTCCCCTCCCCGCGACGCGCGGCGCTTAGTCCAGTGCGGGCAAGAGCGGTGCCTTACGCAGGTGATGGGCGCAGCGCAGGTGGAAGGTATCGCAGCCGTGCACGTGGTGGTACAGAGTCTTCTCGATTAGGTCCTGAGGTTCGTACCCCGTCAGCTCCGCCACTCTGCCGAGAGCAATCCTCGCGGATGAGCTCAGAGCGCCGAGATGCCCCCCACCCCGGACAGCCATCTCAGACCTGGGCGCCCGCCCCCCTTCGCAGGGCGGCGTGAGTCGCCCCGTCTGCAAAATGGGCTCAGACGGTCGAGGAAGAGCTCTCAGTCACTGAGCAAGTCCCCTCTCCCGCTAGGGTGATCCTTTCCCGCCTCGGTGCCCCACCTGGAGTCCAGGAAGATGAGCTTCATGTCCAGGCTGGCGCGGAACATGAACATATTGCTGTGCAGCTTGATCTCCGTGACGGCGCTGGGAGGCAGCGAGTGGCCCACGGCCACCAGGCCCACGTTCTGGTAGCAGCCATCGAAGGGGGACATGTCCAGGCTGTACTGGCGGATCTTCAGGTAGCCGCTGCAGTGAATAACCTGCCGCGGAGGGTGAAAGGTGGGGGAGAGACTCAGCCCCAACCAGGAAACGTCTCCAAAAAAAGGTGGGTAGGGGATTGAAATACTTTGCGACTCCCCGGGGCCGCAAAGGCCGTGTGGGCCTCGCCCCCGCACTGAGGGGTGCAAAGTTATTGGAGCTCCAGCGTCTCAGGGGAATGACTGTCCTGCCACACAGAACTCACCTGAGAGCGTGTAAAAATGCCGAGGCCTGGCAACACCTACCGACCCGAACTCCTCAAAATCGGATAGTGGGGCCCTGGAACCTGCATTCTAATCGTGCTTTATCTCACTGAACCGGAGAACCATGGATTCGAGCTAAAGCTCTGGTTCGTAACCCCTCTGGGGTCGGAATCTGACTCTGTGCTTAAATCCGCCAAAATCCGCCACAATGACCGCCAAAATCCGCCAAAATCCGCCAAAATGACCCACTATTTCAGACGCTTTGCACACCCCTAAAGCCCATTATGAGCCCCAGATTAAGAGTCCCAGCGGCCCGGCCTTAACCGAACACAGTGAAACTAAGTCTTAAAACTTAGTAGCCCCCAAGTGTTCACAAATTACAACTCTCGAGGTGCTCCGGGGCAGGCAGCGCTGCGACGCTTGCGGGGGTGGGGGAAGGGATGCCGTCGGGGCAGTCGGGGACGCAGCAATGTCCCTCCCATGCCGCAAGCTCCTCTTGTCCTGCCCTTTTCCCCTACACGCGGGTCGGAACGTCCCTCTCAGCCACGCACTTTGTAGCCACCGCACGTGAGGCCCGCGTTCCTCTTGGCCAAGACGCACTTCATCCTCAGGAAGAACGAGCGCTCGATCTCATACTCTGGGAGAGAGGAGCGGAGGGAGGGGCAGGCCGTGAGCCATGGAGATGGGTGGTGCCGAGACCCAGTCCCTGCCCCCGCCCTTGGGGGGAAAAGCCCAAGGGGGGAAAAGCCACAAGCCAAGGGAGATGGGCCCAAGTGTCAGAGGCTCGAGCTGCTTACCCTGGACGAAGTGAGAGTGGTAAGGCTGATGGGCCGTGAGCACCGCGGTCATCTCGTCGTGGTCCGCGGGGTGGATGTATTCGTAAATGCTGTTTCCAGTCAGCTCTACCTGTAAAGAGGGGGGTATCAGCTTCTCCGAGGTGGAGGAATGCCCAGGTAGGGCTAGAAGATTGGACCAGAGTGTCCACAGGGTTGTGAGGACAGGAGCGAAAGCTTCAGGGTCAGCCCTGAGTTTTAACTCAGTTGTGCAGTTGGCTACCTATTGCAGTCTATCTAAGCCTCAGCTTCCTCATCTATGAAAGGAAATAATAATAATAATAATAATATAATAGTAATTACAGTAGTAGTAGTACTAGCAGTAGCAATTCTCTGGCAATGTTCAGATGAACACATCTTTAGACTTTTTTAGACATTTTTAGACTTTAGTAAGCAACCGCCACCCATGGTGTTTGACTTATGGTAGGAACTCTAAAACGTAGCAGGATAAGGGGTGAGAATAGGGAAGTAGAGGAAAAGGGAGACGCAGACCTGCCAGCTGAGATGTTTCCAGTCCCAGAAATGCACATATAAGAGCTTTGGGAACGCACCCCGACCCTTACTGTGGGTCTCCAGCTCTCAGTGTAAACATGGAAGGCTGGAGGTGTGGACCACTCACCTACCTGAGAAAGACCCAGGTGGACTGAGGCTGTCTCTGAGATGTACATGATCTTCCCATCTGGGGCCACCACAAAGATGAAGCCATCCAGGGTCTAGGGAGATAGAAACAGAGTTGAACATGAGAGATGTTCAGCCAGAAGAGTGTTCAGAGAGGGTAGAGAGGCTGGTAGGACATAGGGCATAGAATACCTGCTGCAAGAGTCCCTCTCTTGTTCATCCAAATATGTAAGCATCTGGGATATGTGGCACACTAGGAGATGCCCGGAGGAGGTAGCTGGAAAGACTACTGCCCTCCAAGACTCAGGATCCACCAAAATGGATATCTATATCTATCACACACACACACACACACACACACACACACACACACACACAAATATAGGGGACAGGGATCACAGCCTGCAATAAGAGGTGGGTGGGTTCTTGGGGTGATGATCACTGAAAGAATGAAAGGTTTCCTGTGTCAGTCTTGGAAGACTCCATAGTGGCAGCATCCCATAATGGAAAGAGTACCAGCAGGGCTTGGGAAATGGGCACTGAGCCATATGGAAGGGCTGGTAGTCTGAAAAGTTTGTAGACAGAAAGAAGGCAGCTGCCTAGTAGCTCCAGAAAGAATCTGGGAAAGGGGGTTTAGGAAATGAGAGGCTTTCCAGGCAGCAAGTCTGCAAGCGTAGTGGTATAGTGTTCACATATGTGTGTTTACATTGATGCATCAAACTGACAGACTTTCGAATAAGTCTGTCAGACTCCTATCCTAGACTTTCCCTATCCCCCTATCTCTGCGAATGAGGCTTTAGGCCGGGCAGTGGGGACATAAGGATGTGTCAGATTCTGCTCTCAAGTTGCTGGAAGTCCAGCAGCAGTGACCGGCTAAAGACAGACAAGATGGTAGCACAGCTAAAGAGACAGGGCTGTAGGGGCCAAGAGGCTGAGTGGCCAGAGGCCTGGGGGAGAATCAGAGGGCCTCAGAGGAACTCTTTGAGCAGAGCCTTGAAGTGGACGTTTGAACTGGAGATGAGAGAAATGGTATCCTAGGTAGAAGGAATGACTTGGGAAAGGCAGGGATTGGGGGGCAGGAGGGAGTATCTGGTGTATTCAGGCGTGAGGGACTTCGTGTGCCAGAGATGGGCTAAGAAAGTACACCAGTGCCGGGTTTTCGGAGAGTTTGAGATATCAATCAGAGGAATTCAGAGATGTTCCTGTAGGCATCAGGTTTCCAGCAGTTTCTAAGCAGGTAAGGAGGGAAATAGCATGCTTAGGGGTGTGTGCATGCACACGCTAGTGTCTATATTTCATTTTGTTTTGTTTTTTAATGGCAGAATGTGGACAGTGATCTGTAGGAGGAAAAAGTGGGGATGAAGAGTTCAGAGGTGGTTGACCCTAAAATTGGGTGGTCACGGGCAAATGAGGAAGAGGGAGAGTTTAAGTCAAAGATGGTTCTAGTTGTGGAATTTATAGTGGCAGAAAGAGAAGCTTAGAGTGACTTCAAGGTCATTGAATAGAGGGTAACCCCATAAGCCCAGACTGAAAATTTAGGGAAGCATGGTGAGTTTTTCTATGAGTGGAAGACTGGAGGAGGGAAGTAATGAATCCTTGTCTTGGAGATGCTAAACTTCAGGTTTATGCAGATTTCCAGTTGGCAGTAAGAGAGAAAGGTCTGGAGCTCCAGAAGGGTGTCTAGACTGAAAACCAGCTGGAGTCATGCAAATGTGGGAAAGAAGTTGAGGTGATGGTGTTGGCTGAGATTACCCTGAGATTACCTTGAAGCTGTGAGAGGAGAAACAGAAGTGGAACTTTGGAGAAATGTCAGCATTTGTAGCCAGATAGCAGTGGGGAAACCAGAGGAGCAAGTAGAGAGGGAGAAGAATCTAGGAAATTGTGCTACTTTAGAAGCCAAGGGAGAGAGTGAATGTCGAGTAAGCAGTGTCACCTCTGTCAGGGATTTCCCCAGATGTTCTCTTTTCAGTGAGGTCCTCTGCCATGTCCCCATTTTAAGTGGTACTACTCAAACACAGCCCCTCCCTCCCCCTTCTTACTTTTTTCCACAGCACCTGTTATACTACGTAATGTCCCTGTCTGGGTTGGCAAGGCTGCTCGCCTTGGAATGTAAACTCCATGTGGGCAGGACTTTCTGTCTGGCACATACTTGGCCCTCCTATGTTTGTGGAATAAACAGTCAGGCAGGATAAGAGATGAGCATCTTTATGCTGATATCAAAAGGTGATAGAGCCTGACGGAGCACAACAGTTAGGAGAGAAGCCAGACCGCAGGGGTGTGGAAGTGAGGGGAGCAGGGTGAGTGAGGAAACTGAGAGGATAATTAAGTTCTTCCAGAAGTGTGGGATGGAGAGGGAAAAGACTGGGCAAGAACTGGAAGGAGTGAAAGATTGTTTGGGTTTTGTTCTCTCCTTTACGAGGGACATTAGAGGGGAGCATGGAAAGATGGCGGGAGTGTGTTGTTGAGCAACAACTGACGAAGGTGTCTCTGAGAGAGGAGACGGACAACGCCTTTCTGTTTAATTCAGAGGTTTGGAGCCCAGGCCTGTGAGGGAATGCTTACATTGGCCTTTCTGTGCTCTGTGGCACTAGAATCTCTTTGGTCTCCAGGACTGAGGGGGGGACAGAGTAGCAGCGGGACAGGGGAAGACATGAGATGCTGGTCCTGCCCGGCCCAGGGAGAAGAAGCCGCTCAGAGTCTCACCGTGCTGTTTGGGTCTGAGGCTCCCACATGAGGAGCTGGCAGTGGACATGGATAATGATAAGGGGGTGGAGGGTGGGAGACAAGTGTCAAGCCTAAAAATGCCACCGGGAGTTTTGCTATTTTAAATATTTGCTATGCGACTTAAACGGGCAACGGGCAATTTAAAACGGTGTACACTGCAAACAACGCTGTAATGGGCGCCTCCACATTGGGTAAACTCATTACCTGGGGAGCTGTATGTGTGTAGGCTAGGGTCTGTACGCGGGTTGGGCTGGCCTGGGGTGAGAGCTCATGGAGAGAGAGGAGGGAGCCCGCAAGCTAGAGGGAGGAGACGAAAGAGTTGCAGACGCAGCTGGATCTGGAATGTGTGGACTGAAAGCACTGATGGGCGTTTCTACCAGAGTCCCGTTATTCCTGTGTAAATCCTTCATTTCTGGTGGTTTTGCAGCTTGGCCCAGCGTGCTCAGTTCTTTGGGCGGAATGGTGCCAAATGGCCACCTCCCTCAGTTCAGCCATCCTGGTTTGGGACCTTGAGGGACTCCCTTCTAAACCTAGCGTGCTCATTGTCACCTTGCCTCCCTCTCTGCCTGGAGAGGTGCCATCCTCACCCAATGAGGTTAAGAGCTCAACGTTTTAATTTTGGAAGGAGCTGTAGGGACTGCAAGAAGGCCACGTCTGGGACCCACCCCATTTCCCTAAAGATCAAGAAGCCCGGTGCGGGGCAGGCACCTGAGCCCTCAAAGCCTATGTGCTGACGCGCCGCTACCTGGAGCAAATGGGAGCCCAATTCTCTGCCCACGTTGTCCAAAGGGCTGGTGCGACTCGAGTGGCCCCACGCCTCGCCGAGTCCTGTAGAGACAAAGAGACAACCTTTAGCGATGGGACTCCGACCTGGCTAGCAATTTGAGTCTAATCTCTCGGTTATTGTCACACCCCCAAGTTCGCACACACGACCCGATACCCTCGGAGATCGCCCGCACCAGGACAGCCTAGGACGCCAGCGGGTAAATTTCGGCCCCGCCCTCTCCACTTATAAAGGACTGCGTAGAGGTCAGACTCCCCCTCCTGGACCAGCGCCGGTTTCTCAGGGAGGTCAGGGCCCTGGCTGAGCGCCCCTCCTGGCAGTACCCCACGTGGCTAAATTGGAGGACCGCATGTGTCCAGAAGGGGCCGATACCGAACCCCCGCGGTTAACTTTTGCATAGGTTCACTAGTGTGGTTAGAGGGGTGAGGGACACTGTTTCTCTCCCAAAGTGTCATCATCTTCCTTATCAGGAGGCCCAGGGTGTCCGCACATCCAGCAAGTGCCAGGAGCGAATACCTGAGGCTTTGAGCCAGGTCCAGCTGGTCTTTGGTGGGCTTTCTCATTGGCTGCCAGGCTCTCCAGCCATTTTCCTCCCCTAGCCCCCTGACTTTGATTCCCTCCGTAGAAATCCTTTTGCTTGTGGATGGTTTCCAGCACCAACATCCCTGAACAATCCTTCTTCCTCTGCTTCCCCTCCTCCCCACCCTGCGCCAGCCCTCCATTTACACATCCTAACCTTGCCTTTCCAAAAAAAAAAAAAAAAAAGTATACCCTTTTTTTGAAGTTACTTTCAAGTGCTTATACCATCTTAAGAAATATTTCCTGTTCCCTATTGGATATAGACAATCATTCAGTTTCTCTACTTCCCAGGCACCATCTATTAACAAAGACAGCCCCTTTCTCTCCTGGATGCTACCACGTTAAGATCTTTCCAGGCTTTGCCAGAAATCATTTCTCCAATGATGCCTAAAAAAATACAATTCTCTGCATACCCAGGGCTGATGTTTTAAAAAAATCAATACGGAATCTGCTGTAGTACCTGTTTGCAGAAAGAAAATGAAAAAAAAATAAGGCAGAGGAAACTTGAGACAGAGGTTATACTACCTGTAACTACTTACAGGTAATATTTTTTTTAACAGTGTTGCTGCTGAAATTAATTTAACTAGGTAGTTAAACTCTTTCATTCTTCCACCAATAAACAAGGTTTAACATGACAAAAAGAGGGGTGATTTAGTGATTTGCTGCATTAAAGTACAAATCACCATGAAGTACACAGTGACAGACACACTCGCATTGTAATATGGGGGTGAGGGCGGATCTTTCGGAATAAAACATGGAGTTGGACTCTTAAAATGTGTTGGCCAGAAGCTGCTTCCTAAGCAAGCGATCAAAACCCTGGTAACGAGTAACCAGGAGCGCCCCTTAAGCTCGAATCGGGTCTTTCTGGGTGTTTGCACATCTAAATAAATCTAACGATTTCCCCACCGCTCTGCAAACACTGATGCTCCCCGCCCGCCGCCGGACTCCTCTCCCTCCCTCGCCTCTCGTCAATCCCTCCTGCCTCTTTAGCCCGCCCCAGTTTCCCTCCCTGGAGTGACACCACTGCCCAGATGCTTTGGTCCTCCTGGACTGTTTAGGAGAGCCTCCGCCACAGCCACCTGTACCCACCCTTCTGCCGTGTCACCTTCCCTTCGCTCCTTGGGTCTCGGCCAAGCTATCCTGCCTGGTTTCCCGCAAGACGCGTTCATTTTTCTCATCGTTGCTCACACACCCCCACCCAAAAGTGGCGGAAAGGGAGATGGGGGTTGTTGGTTGAGAAGGCCAAACTGGGGGAAAGGGAAAAGAACCTGCTGGGAGAGCCGGGGACGCGGGTGGCGCTGGCTGGTGAGCGCCCGGGCCCGGCGGAGGCCTGGGAGAGCCAAGCTGTGCGGGGGCGAAGGGCCGGGGCGCTCCCGGCGCCCTGGGAGCAGGCAGAGGCCTCCTCGCGTCTGGAATCTGGTCTTCCGGAAGGGTGCGAAGCCTGCGCTTGGGGCCAGCAAACGTCTTTATTCTAAAATTGTGAAGTTCTCCCAAGTCGGCTGCAAACAGCCCGGGAACGGCCTCCCGACCCGAATCATTTGAAAATCCCCGAGCTGGGCTCGGGGTTAAGTACTGGTTCCGAACCCCAGCGCCAGCCTCTGCAGTTTGTTGTCTCGGGTTGCGGCCTCATTAGTATGCGCCTACGAGGGGAAAATAAGACTTCCCCGCAGGTTACTAAACAGCCCGCCTGGCGCAGGTTAACAGGGGCCTCCCTCGCCCTCTCCTGCCCCTACCCCCACACCTTTTAGGGAACCTTTTGCTTTCACGGAGCATTGCCTCCTCTATGTTTGCGGTTGAAATCGCCGCCACACGGTTTTGTCTGGGTTAATGTTTTATAAGGCACTGGCTGCCCTCCTCTACCTGCCAGGCTTTCCTGACCTAATCCTAGGGCTGAGTTCGCCCTTCAGCCCTCCCAGGACACCTTCTGAAGCCCCGGGTCAAGGGTTCGGCCTCCCGAAAATCCTGCAGTGGGCCAGAGACCCCTCTCCCCGGACCCCCTCACCTCCTGCCCGCGGTGACGCGCTCCCGCACCCAATTTCAGTTGGCGAGGGGGGTAAGCTGAGATTTCGTTTCTGCACTTGACCTACCGCAGAAAATTCACAAATCCTTTGATTGTCTGTTTAAAATGAGGAGGAAACCAGCTCCTTTTGCGGCAGGATTACAGTGGGAACAAGATCTAAAGATTCTCTTGTAATTCGGTGAGGCCGAGGGAACGGGGTTTTGCAAAGGAGAAAAGGAGCTCTGTGAGGGAGGCGATAACTAAATCGGGTTTTAGACAAAAGGATTTTCCCTAGCTAAAGTGGCCGAAGACAAAGGAAAACATAATCTATTTTGGAAGATTTCCAAGATATGCCACATTAACCTTAGCAGATAAATTTTGCTTCTCCCCTCCCCGTTCTTTCCTTAAAGTCTGGTTTATCATATTTACATAAGTAGTATTAGAAGGGATGTATCTATTATGGATCTAAAGGGCTAGCTCACATTTCATGTGAAAACCCCGGGCGAAGTTTCACTCTTACCCTCAGTGCTCGGTTGAGGCATTTCCATTTAAATACCCCCTGACCCAAGGATTACCTCAATGGACTGACTGCACGGGTTTTGTAATTTCCTGAAAATGAGATTTCGATTTATAAAACAAGAAACCAATTAGTAACCAAATGAGGCGAAGTAGATCCACTAAAATTGACCTAATCCCACAGGCACAATTTAGGCCCGTTCTTGGCGAATGAATGATGAGCCCCAGTCTAGCGTGAGCTCAAAGCATCATCCAGCTGTGTTATTACAAGCAGCAAAAATAAATTGATCGAGCTTTTCCTTCGGAATGAATTTCATGCCCTTGACAAAATATAGATTACAGACCTGGCATCATTGCCTCCTTCACTCAGACAGGAAGAGGAGGAAGAGAAGAGCTTGGTCTACTGTTCTTTCCCCCCTTTTCTTTAATAAATAAACTATATCTCAGTAGAAATGTGTCCTCCTTATAGTAGTTCCCAGAAAGCTTCATCTGACTGACAGATCCCGATATACCTTTTAGGCAATATGGGAATGGGAAGGGGACTGGAAGAGCTGTCCCAGGATCTGACCACAACTTGGTGACTGAAGTGGGAAAAGCCCTTCCAGACACTGCTCCTAACATGGGGTCCCAGAGGGACTTGTCTCAGCCACCTGGACTCCTTCCACTACCCCTGTCCAGCAACTTATCGGTCTTCCTGTTAGGGCTTCTGGGGCCTCAGAAGCTGCGCTCACTGAGGAAGAGAGGGACGGAGATTGGTGGCCCTTAGACAAGCCCTTAGACTGCCAGGAGTGGTCACTGGATAGAAGGCTGCTTCCTGCGTCTAGGCATACCCACCCTCAAGCCTCGGGCGCTGTGACCCTCCCTGCTCAAGGTCCCCTCCGGCCACCTGGAGGGTGTGGCGGACCTCCTGAGCGCGAGGATAGCAGCGTCAGGCCGGGCTTTGTCCTGCGCAGCAGCCTGGACCCTACCGTGTGTGTCCGGAACTCCCCTGTGTGTTCTGCAATCCGCAATGTCAGGGAGTGCCGTGCTCTCCCCTGCGCGCCTCTGAGACCCCTGGCGCGCCCCGGGAATACACTAATGTTAGTTATAAATCTGGGGTGGAGACTGACGGTCACAGCATTGATTGTCTCTGTACCCTTGCTGAGCTCTGGCCCTGGAGCTAGGGCTTCCAAGTTGGGATGGAGCAGGCCAGCAAAGCTGGCCTTCGGCGTCGTAGGCTGCATCGAAGAGAACAGGAGCTAAAGGGTTTCAGCCTAATCCCAACTAAACTGTGGGACGAAAATGCACGCGGGGTTGACAACAGTGCCTGCGTGACACTGAAAAACGTCAAGTGGTGTCTCCCCGGGGCTCCAGGTCTTCAAAAGTGGCCGGGAGGGGCAATGCCATCGCCCCAAAGGCAGGCGCGGGTGGGCGGACGGGGTTGCCCGGCTGTTCAGGCGTGTCCGGCTTGTGTTCCATTTTGCGGCCGGACTCGACCGCCGCACTACGGTCCGCTCCGGCAGGATCTCGACTTCAGGTTTAAACAACAGACCGACCTTGGGGCAGTGGCCCGGGCAGGACGAATGACAGAGGGAGCACGCCCGCACCGGCCCGGCCTCTGCTTGGGCAGGCGAGCTGGAACGTCCTCGAACCTTGGAGGGCAGAGACCTGGTCTGGACCGTGCGGAGATTCCAGCTGGCGCCCCCTCGGCTGCCGCCCCCCGCGGCCGGGACAGAATGGGCCTCAGCGCGCCAACCTGGCCTGCGAGTAGCAGCATACAGGCTTGTCCCCGCTGCGTGCTTCGTTGCGTACCCGAGCGCGGCAGAGGTTTCTGTCTCCGGTCTGTCCGGAGCCACCGAGGAAGAGCGACTCCGCGCCGGACCGCCTCCCGGATGGGGACTCCACGCAGAAAGTTTGCTCGGCACTTCTCGAACAGTGTTTTAGTACTAAGTAGCAGCCCCCTTGCTAAATACTAGAGGGTTGTCCTCCATCTACGCAAAATTTAAAATTCCATGAATCAGAGACCGGCAATGGGTGGACAGCTAACATCATAAGGTGTTAGTTGGCTCCAAACCTCATTCTCTTGAGAAATACCTGGGCCGACATAGAGAAATGCAGCCAGAATCCGTGGGCTCGAATTGTGTCCGCTTACGTGTCTGCAAAAGCTCCAAGCTGCCGAGATTTCCCCCAGGTTTGAAAAATAACTCCCCTAGAAATCATATTTGTCCTCTGGAAATTTAGTGTGATTTTAGCTTCAGGTGTGTGATTGTACCCTGCTTAAAAGCAACTTGCTATAACTTATAATGCCCTGTTTTGCTGTTGTGACTGTTTTTATTAGTGACCATTCCCTTTAAAGAAAAAAAAAGTATATTTTTCATTGATCTGATCTACAATTTCTAGCACATAAATCTGCCTTGCAAATGCTCTGTATGGAGTTTAGTTCTGCACTCTACATTTTAAGTCAACATCAAAACTGGAATTAAACAGAGAAAACCAGCGTGGAGCGTAAACTGGGCTTAAAGGCTTTTAAATGAGAAAAACTTCTGTAAGAAAATAAACATGGAAACCTAATGCTCAATCATTTCCCCGAGCAGCAAGAAAAACAGCCTTAAATCACCCATCCACGTGGGAAATGGGGCCTCTTTTTCTCTTTCAGTTCTGGGCCTCAAAAAAATATAAGGCGATTAAGGATTTCAATCTTGAGGTGAATATTATAGAAAGGGTCTGTGGAGGTTTGTTTAATCATCCTTGTCCTTCCAGCCTTTGTAGAGACTCCCTATCCTGCACAGTTACTAATTTCAATTCTGTGATTATTTTTATTTTCCCAAGACATCTTTACAATGAATTGGTAGTGTGATGTTACCAAGATTCCCACTGGCTATAGATTTGAAAACATGTCTGATCCTTTCAAAGGTTGTTCAGCAAGCCACTGCACCCCCAGCCAAAACTGTATTATATCTGGATAACAAATAGATATGTCTTCTTAGTTGAATTTGTCTTATTTTGCGCACAAAAGCACACCATCTCTCTTTTTTAACTGCTTTTCTAGCTTTGGTAACACTAAAGACATATATTTCTCAAGTTTTTTCTTTGCAAGGTTATTTCAGAATGGAATATGCTGCCAATGGGAGATACGCAGTTTTAATGATTTCACAGTAATCTTTCCTGCGTTTTTTTTTTAAAGTATGAAGCCGCCCATCCATTGCTTTATTCTTAGTTATACCAGCCACCCATATCCTGTTCCTATGTTCTCAATCTCTCATTTTTCTTTCAAGAGCTCAATTTTATCTACTCAGGTAAGTGAAAGCTGAAGTTTGCCCCTAGACAAGGAATCTACAGGAACTTGGGGGAGGTAGGAACTATACTTAACGATGGGGCATTAGCTATATTTTAAGAATTTGTTTATTTTTTCAAATATAAGTATGGAAAGATTTCTGTTTGTTGATTTAAGTCTTTTGATATTAATAAGTACTGTAGATGAAAGGTAATCTGACCCAAAACCATGGAGTTTTATAGTCATTGTTGTGCCTATAACTGAGATGTCATCAGATTTATGATTCTTTTAGATTATATACCTTGCAAAATCCCTATGTTATATGTGACAGAATGCTTACCATGGTGAAATAGCTATCTTTTACTTCATCCTTAGAACAAAATTTAAGACCTATATGTTCTGGAATGGGATCAAGATAGATGTAAACATGAACTACATCTTCAAATTCTTTCCATTTCTCGTTCCTAAAAAGGGTAACTTCCACAGAAAACACCCAGTTTCCCCCACTGCCATGGACCCAGTCTTGTCTACTCGCTGTCTTCACTGCACAGCTGAACCCAAATCTAGCACCCTCTGCAGGTTGTGCCTGGTTTTGCCGCTTGTGATTATTACACTCCTTTGAAAGACGTTGGGATTTGGGGGGGGGGGGTTGTTATCGTTTAATATTTTAAAGGGCTCTGCCTGGGTTTTGGATTTTTGAAGCTGATCTATCCTCAAAATTAAAACCTCATCCCTAGGAGCCAGCTGTTCGGATGACCCTGTCCAACTCACCGGTGGAGACTGCAAGTGAGTTACGAGCTCAACAGTAGCTGGAGAAATAAATGATGTGCCCAGAGTTCACACATCGTCCATCCCCTCCTCCCCATAAACTCACACTGGTCCACAGGAGAAGGGAGAGGGGAGGGGCCCGGGCTCCGGAAGAAGGTGAGGGGGCTGCAGAAAGCACAGTCGCCTTAAAGTAGCCACAGGGGATCCGCCCGGCCACCAAGGGGACCCCAGAGGGAGTCTTCGCCAGTGCTCTCTTTAAAAATAAGAAGTTGGCTAAGAGAGTTTACTTTCTGTTCTTCCTATTTATCACGAGATTTATAATTTGTGGAGTTAGCTCTTAAGACAGCTTGCTCTCTTAGAAAACAAAACCAAAACAACAAAAACCAGCCCGAAACCCTCCCGGCCGCGCCAGCAGGGGATCTGCGCGACAAAGACGAGCGTCCCCAGCCCGGCAACTCCCTGGGCGCCCCCAGCCCTCTTTCTGTGCCCGCCCGGGAACGCCGATCCCCTATTCTTTTCCTCCCGCGATTACCCGGAGCCCCACAAGCAGCACCATATGCTTCTTCTGATCAAACAGCGAGCGACATCGGCACTGATAATTGACGAGACCCGCTAGAAATCACGCAGAAAGGGAGCCCACTGAGACCACAGGGGCTGACAAATCACTGCTAATAATCCTGTTAGGAACAGCGCGGCCAGCCGAGTTCGCAATAGCTTTATTTTTATAAAGTAGGCGCTGACAGTATAAAAGACAACGAGATCTCTTTAAAAAAAAAAAACAACAGAAGACAGTGTAGCATAATAGTACTTTTCCCACCAGCAATTCTCAGCACAGTTTGAATGGGAAATATGGTTTTTACTATATAAGTGCCCTCTTTCTTTCTTTCTTTCTTTCTTTCTTTCTAACTTTTCAGTAACTTTAGGTTTTGATTCCTCTCCTCCTGTGGTTTCCACGGTCAAGTGAGACTGTTCAAAGAACTGCTTTAAGACAAAACAACTATAACACTACTTGTAGTTCTCTGGTAAAATTGAACTATAATTTGAAAGTTTTCCTTTAGTGCCCCTGATTAATTTGTCGACATGTTTTGCGAGATTTTGATTCAGATAATAACTTCTAGTCAAGATCAAACAAAGTGAAACTCCAAGCCCGATAATGACTATTTCCTTCCCATTTCCTTAAAAGAAAACAATAGACCCCAAACACCCAAAATCAACAATAACATAAACCTCTGTGGGTCAAATAAGACATTCTGGTTTATAAATAAACAGGGTTCTTTCTCTTGGAATTTTTTGTTTGTTTTGTATTCTCTCCTTTATATTTCCCAATCTCTCTCCTCTAGCAAAGAAACATCTAAAATACTTTTAAAAATCTGTACATATTATTTGAATGTGGGTAAAGGAAAGGATGGGGAGATGGAAAAGAGAAGTATTCTTTTCCTAGTGAGTATATATGGTTTTATACAGGACAGTGTTCTTTGAAGGCTGCTCTGTCGTCACACAGTGAATCTTGATCATCTAAATACATGTTTTAAATCATGACCAGCTCAGCTGTTCTTCCTTCTAGGCCTTAAAAGACAATTTTCCCAGGACCCATTTGCCAACCTGCCTCCTAGAAGATAGTTTCCAAGCGGGCTAGTCTTCTTGATTCAACCTTAAGTATTTGGATCCTAGCCTTTTATCTCAGAGATAATACCAAACTCGGAGTTGCAAATCATGAAGACCCAGAGTTAGTTTCAGAATCTGTGAGTGTCTCAAAAACTCAGAATACATTTGCTATAAGCAATCAAGAGACTGGGTAAATCCAGGACAAATTTGTTCCTAAATATGCCTGCTTCTCTTCTGTAGAATTAGAAACTCAGAAATTATTATCTAGCTTAGCTAGCTCCATGTACATGGGTCTATCTATATGTAGCAAAAATACAAGAATTTGGCAATGTTCCTGCCTTCTGCTAGATACAATTCTAACGAGGAATTAAAGAAAGAAAGGAAGAAAGAAAGTCAGTCAGTCATGTTTGGATTACTTGTACTTTCAGTCGAGCTCAGTATCTGAAGTGTTGACAAAAGCACTGTTGGGCTGCATCCCAACCAAACATATCCGATGCATGGGAGAGAAAATATTAATGGGGAAGTAGAAAGGGCCACAAAAAGGCAATAGGAATCTAAGTTCAGAGAGGTCCTGAGTCAAGCAGCCATGCTAAACTTCCCTTTGCAGAGAGTGTGTACGTACATGTGAATGCAATCCTCTGTTCAGTGGTGTAGGCTCACTCACTGGCAAACCTCTACTCCTTCTGTTTGAAATTCCATCTGGGCAGAGTCACTTACCTTCTGGGAACACAACTCTCATTTTGAGATAGCTGGTGGTGAGCCTGATTATGGATGCTTTGTCCAGCTGCGAGGTGATCGCTGAGGGCAAAGGCAGTAACTTAGCCAGTTCATAAAATTCACTGTTTTCCTTCTCCCTCCTAGTCCGCGCAGCATTTTTGGACTTCTCTTTCATTGTGTCTCGTTCTCCCTTTCTTCTTACAACATAAGCTCCACAGATTCATTCAAAAGCAAAAATAAACTCTCAATTAGAGATCATATTGGCAAAAACATAGAGCCTACTTTGAATGAAGAGACGGAAGTCTTTGCTTCAGTGTACTGATGTCAGTGAAAGACCAACGCAGAGAAGAGAAAATTATTTTCTTTTAAAATACTGGACGCGAATGTGGGAAAGTTGTTGATCCACGGCAATCTGGACAATCCTAGGAGTCTCTGGGTATCAAATGCTGGCGGGACCCCTGAGAAGCCAGCCTTTTCTTCTGTTTGGCGCGGCCAAACCCGGTCCCCAAAAAATCGACATAATAATCCCCGACGTTTGCTCTTCAGTCCCGAGGCATTTGAGGCGGCTCCGAGCTCCTTTGGGAAGAACTTGGGAAGCACAGGAACGCCGGACAACTCTTTCAGGCCACTGTGAAGACAACAGCATCAGAGCGTAAGGGATCTGCAGCTCCGCAATCACTCATACACTCCCCGAATTCCGAAAAACGGGCGGAAAGGGCCTCAGCGCGCCTCTCCAGGCTCGGTGTTTGTTTGTGCGTATGTTTGTTTGTTTGTTTGTTTGTTTAAGATATGGAGGAATCGGCGGCGAGACTGAGCCCCCTGCAAATAATGCTCTCATTCCCTCATCCATGCCAACCACATACTCCAGCCCCCTGGGAAGTTGCCCAAATCACAAAATGTATATTTTTGAAGACACTTAGCAGACCCTCAGTCGCCGGTCCCCGTGCCCGCGCCCAGGCCAGTCGCACGTCCCAGAAAGCAGGGTTCCACAAATCAGAATTCCTCCACAGTGCTCAGGCCGCCTTTCAGGCCCCCCAGTTGGGCAGATCTGGAATTTGGCTATCTCTCTAACTTGGGTCTCAACTCTCAGGGATTCCACAAAAAGTGGCACTTACGCATCAAGTCCCTCGGGACTCCCAAGGCGACCCAGGGCTCTCCCTGCCCAGCGGGAGCGGCAACACGCCGGGCACGGCAGCGCCAGGTTAACAGGTGGCACATTCATGACAGCCCCTCGCAGGCACGGGGAGGGGGGCAGTGGGAGGCGTACCGGCCTCTCCCGGTCCGCCGCAGAGCTGCGGGTGCCTCTGGGCGGGCGCAAGGTGTCTTCGCTTCACCTACCTTCAGTCCCCGCCGGCGGCAAAGGGTGCAGAGGCGCCCACCTCTTAATTGTATTCATGCCTACCATCCAACTCCTCCGGCCTCTCGGCTTCCCACCGGCAGAGAGGAGCGGAGCGCGTCCTGGCTCGCTTTTCTTTTCTCGGTCATGAATTGGGGGAGGGGTGCGTGGGAGAAGGAGGGGAGGATGCAGGCTTTGGGACGGGTGAGGTGGTTTTAGAATCCTCCTCCTCGGTAGTTGCTACGAAGCCAGTATTATTCCTAATTGGAAGCCGAAAACGCCCCCCTGTAACTTCTTTATAGCTCACAGGGTTTAGCTTCAACTTCACTCCCGGGCTCCCTCTCTCCCGCCCTCCCTTAATGCCATTCACAAACTTCCGCGCGTCCAATTGGCTCGCCCTGCCGCGGGAAGAGGCGCTCATTGGCCGGCCGGGCTGAGTGACGCGAGCACGACCCGAACCACCCCCTGCGCGCCCCGGCTCCTGGCTCGCCTCTCGGCTACCCGCGTGGCTGCAGCGCTCCTGACGAGCCCTGGGCACCGGTGTCGGCAATGCCCGGCAGCGGCCGCTGCTCCCGGCCTCCAGGGGCCTCGCGGGTGATGTGCAGGACCCTCGCTTCCCCGCTCTCCCTGGGGTCGAGTGGCTACGCACCCAGTCCCGAGGGCTGGCCCCGCTGTGCCCCGCGCGTCCGAAAGCGGCGGGCTGCGGCCTGAGGCCGCAGAGGTCGAGCCGGGGGACTGGGGCTCCTGGCGACGAGGCTGGAGTCGCCCAGACTGCGAGCGCGAGTCACCCAAAGGCCGAGTTCGCGGCCGCGCCATTCCCATTGGCAAGTGGTGGGGCCCACTGCTTGCACCCGCCGCTGTTGCGCTTTCTCTTTCACGTTTCTCTGAAACCCCAGCGACACTGAATTCATCGCCGGAGAAGATTTATATATCTATATCTATATCTATATCTATATCTATATCTATATCTATATCTATATCTATCTGTCTTTAAATTAATCCCAAAGAGGAGAGTCTTTCGAAATGGCTCGAGTTTGGGAGCTGATTTGTTCACCGTGGAAAGCTCATCCTAGGGGTTGTCTTATGGGGGGGCGCAGATAGGGGACTCTAGAGGAAAAGACGTTAACATTTCAGCACAAAATAGAGTTAGAGTGGTTGATACATAGATACGTCGCAACAATCTGTCAGCTTAAAGGTGAGTGAAGACTTTTTTGTTGGGTTTTGTTTCCGGAAACCCAAGTCCAACGTAATATCCTTACGAAAGGATACATTCAGCATCAATAAATTTACAATATTCACAGTTCCCCCAACAGGACCCACTTAAACAAACGCTTGTAAGTACTCTCGCTGACAAATTAAGACACCCTCTGATTTGAATTGCTTTTTTCCTGTCATCTGAAGAAAGACAACAGCTAGCAACGGGGGGGGGGGAGCTGACTTGCCCCCAAAATAATTACTACTACTTGGAATCACTCCCTACAAAGGCGATTCCCCGCTTGTTTTTTGGTGCCGCTGGTGACCACGATTCTTCTGGACGTACACTCGGAGGCAGGTGTTTCAGCGGCGGTAAAAGACAGGAAGAACGCCAGTGATGTTGCATTCATCCTCTCCTTTGTGGCGATAATTGCCGCGGAGAAAACATACACTCTGAAGAGGGGTTGTGCCATTTTTCTGATATTTCCAGCAACTTTAAGAGTGTTTGTTCAAAAATGCAGACATCTGCCACCTCCTTGCCGCCCGATGGCAGTAAGCTCACAGAACGACAACGGGAGCTTTCTGGGGATATTTACACATCTGGGAAGCACCTGGCAAGAAGAGGTGAATGGTCTGGATAAAAAGAATAAGACAAAACGGAACATATAGATTTTATAGGTGTTTCAAAACTGGAATCTGGCTAATGGGCTCTAATCTAGAAGGAGTCATTTCCCCAGAGTCTGTGGCCGCTTAGAGACCTGGCTCTGGGAGGGTTCCAACCTCCAAGTGCTACACTCCCAAGGAGTAAGGATACTAAGAGAGATGTGGTGCCACTCTCTTATACACGACACTCCAGGAAGACCAGATAAGATCAACTTAACTACTGCATTTAAAGACAGACGGTGTGTGTTTGGGGAAGATGAAAAAACCTTCCCTGACCCTTCTCCCCACTCTCCCACCACCCTCAATCGGGACAGATCTTATGGGTAAATGGAGCGGCCGGGCGCAGCAATGGCACTTCAGAGTTAAGCAGTTTTCTATTCCGACTTTGCTCTGGAAAGAATTTCGGTTAAGTCAGTGGTTACTTAAACCATACCTCTCCTTCAACGACGTGCAGGTGTGTTAGTGCTTCATTAGGGTCCGAAACCCTTGCCCATGGCAGAGACACCCTGGGGCGTCAGGAGGTGCCCTGCTCCCCATACAACAGAGCGTTTCACCAGAAGAAAGGCAGTATTTTCCTTTCAGAAGGAAAATGGGCAAAATGAGTGGGTGGGTCTTCACACCAAAGATGACACCCTGCGTGCTGTTCCAGCGTCCCAGTGAAGCTCAGTAGTCCATGAACCGAGTAGCTGTTTAATAAACAAAGTGAATGCACGGCCTTGTGGGGACGGCCCCCTCGCTAAGTCCTCCGCACACAACTGTCTGAGCCGCGTTTACCGAGTGAGTGAATTAGCATGGCGACGTAACACCTGTTTTTCTAATCTTTGAACCTAGGCTGAAGCCGGAATGCGATCCTGCATGCCCTCCCCCGCCCGGGTGCAGGGACCCGGCCTCGCACCCTTCCGGCGACCCCGCCCGCGGGCCCCGCCAGAGCATCAGGCCAGCGAGGGGCGTGAACCACAACCTCAGGTGCCTCCCACGTGTTCTGAGAATTTGCGTTCCCCTCTAGCGTGAGAAATTTTGAATTTATTTCTTGAGTTTAAGAAGCTAGTCCTGCCCACCTCTTTGACAAAAATTAAGAGGGAAAGCCCAGGAAAGAAAGAAATGGGTGCATGCGACCCACCAACACCGGACCAGAATCCTAAGAGCTTCTAGGCCGCTGCCTCCTTTGCGAGTACCTCTGGCCCTGGGGCACTGTCTATGCCACAGGCTCCGGTTTCTTTCCTAAAGCGGGAAGAAACCGGAGCCTGTTTGTAAACAAACACCTTCCTCCTTTCCTAGGCCCAGGAGGGCAAAAGCAAAATTGTACCCCTGGGAGTCGCTTCTACCACGGAGGCGACCCCAGAGGCTGCCCGCATGGAGCCCTCTTTTAGCCCGTTGGGACACCACGACGTGCGGGCTCCCAAGGCTCTAGACTAAGGGGCAAGGCGTGCCCGCTGCGGCGGATCTGAGAACCCACGCTCCTGTGCGTGCGGAGTCCCGCGCGCGGCGCGCTCCCGGAACTAAAAGGAGGGGGCTCTGCGGGCCTCCGGACCCCTCCCAACACCAGGCAAAGTCCAGACTGAAGAAGCTAAACCTCTGGGTTGGGAAAGAACCAGAACGCTCAGCGGAATTCGGGTGCACACTACGGTTGGGTTTCAGCGTATCCGTCCAGACCTATGCGCACTGTGATGCTGACGGTGCTCAGGCACAGACTTCTAGCCTACCTTCTGGTAACTCCTCTCAGTGCCCAGCTGCTTGAGCATCTTAGCAAAACTAGAGTGATTTCTGTCTCCCCTTCCTCGCTCCCATAACACACTTTTTGTTTTGTTTTTTTTTTTTTTTTTTTACAGACTACGAGGAACGCATACGTGCCCTTTTGCTCGCTTCCACATCACATGTACACGTTTGTACAAAGCACACAGGCACGGATTTTGCTCAGTGGCCAAGGTCAGGATGAATGATACACTTATTAGTAATCAAGATGCAACATCCGAAGATGGCCA